TGAACGCGCCACGGGCTGCGTCGTCGAACTCGAAGGGCACCTTCGGGGACTGAAGTCTCGACAAAAGAGCGGCCACTTTCGAGTATGACTCGACGAATCGCTGATAATATCCAGCCAAACCCATGAAAGAGCGTACATCCGTCGTGCMACGGGGTTCCGGCCAATCCAYGATGGCTTGGATCTTGTCCRCTAAGGGACGAATGCCTTTCGGCGTGACAAAATGGCCCAAGTACTCAAGCTCTTGCCTGGCGAATTCGCACTTGTCGAGATTCGCTTTGTACTTGGCTAGTCGCAAACGATTCAAAACAACGTGAAGGTGTACGATGTGCTCGTCCAACGTCCTACTATAAACCAAGATATCATCAAGGTAGATGAGGACGCTGCGATCGAGCAAGTCATCGCTGCTTGAAACGTTGCGGGGGCATTGGTGAGTCCAAATGGCATGACAACCCACTCAAAATGCCCGTACCGCGTCTTGAACACGGTCTTGTACCGGTCTTGAGGCTGGATTTCAATCTGGTGGTAACCTGACTTCAAATCCAACTTCGAGAAGTACGTCGCGCCGCCTAACCGCTCAAGCAGATCATCAATCCGAGGGAGAGGGTCGGCATTCTTTACGGTTTGTGCGTTAAGTTTCCGATAGTCGATGCATAACCGTAGATCTTTGTTCTTCTTCCGGACGAAGAGAACAGGTGCACCGTATGGCGAGCAACTAGGGCGAATCCAACCCTCGTCGAGAAGATCATCGAGTTGCGCGCGAAGCACCTCGAGTTCCTCTTCGGTCATGCGGTAGATACATCCACGCGGAGGGACAGCGCCAGCCTCGAGAGTGATCCCGTGACGTATGGGCCGATCCGGAACCGTTCCGGTGGGAGCCTCGAAGACGTATCTATACTCGTCCAAGAGGTGAAAAATGCGTGGGTCCGGCGGTGAAGCGGCTGGTCCGTCCGGCGAGGGGAGAGCATGCAATAATACAAGTCCCATCTCCTCGATGTCATTCCGAGCAATGGCGTCGCGAATCCGCGCAACGGAAACCACGTGACAAGCAATCGAAGTGTGAGGGGTCGCGACCGTACATGGGACTAACACTCCGTTCTAATCACGGATGTGAACGATTCGGTCACGGAAGTTCACCGGACGATCGGCGCTATGCAACCAAGACATGCCTAGAATCATGTCGAACTTGGTGTCGAGGATGTCAAAAGACACCGGCTCGCACGCAAGTGGCGCAAAGTAGACCGAAACGTCGTCAACGCATCGGTCAATTGACTTTTGCGTGCGGCCGTCCGCGAGTGTAACTTGCGTAGGTTGTGTCTTCCTTCGAACGCGCGGGCCAAGACCTACGCTGGCCATAAAGGCATGACTTATGAAGTTGCGAGACGCTCCGCAATCAATCAAGGCACTACAGGTTGCCTTTCCGATTTGAATGCGGATATAGAGCAAAGGTGCGTCGGTTTCGGCGTTCATTTGGGTGGCGTGCTCGCGGTCGATCTTCGCAAGATAKGAGCGGAGATCGGCAACCGCTACCCCGTCGTCCGTCAACGGAGCTGGTACTGTAGTGTAAAAGTAGAAGGGTAGATTTGCCATCAAGGCGTTGCAATGCGGCCTTGGCAAGGTTCCGGTCGAGGGTAGAGGTATCCAAGCGAAATCCTCTCTCGTGAGCGGGTCAAGCTCCTCAAGTCTTGACCACGCCGTCGAGTCCTCGGAAATCAGTGGCGAACTGCCCGGGTCACTTGCCGACGGTGTACAGGCTGCGCTTACGCAATCTACATGCACGTGGCTAGGCTGGTCTAATGGTGGTACCAGCTGGGCGGCATAATCCTCGTACGTAGCACGAGAATCAGCGACTAACG